TTTTAAAATTGAACATTCTACGGTGTTTCGAGAGATTTGATAATCATAGTCGAACCTTAAACGAACGTTCAAACGAAGAAAATTTTCCAAAAATCATTTCGTACGTTATTAATCGATAAAACAAAAATTCATTGTTGAAAAATAAATATTTCCTGAAAATCTTCATCTTCCATACAAGATTCAAGATTTTCCCTAATTAAGAGTAATTTCAAAAGATTATCTGTATAAGCTATTATTTCAATACGCGATGCACTGACTCTAGTATTTACTAAAATTCAAAAATTCTCGTATAAATTCCGAAAATAGATTATTAATTACGGTAAACTACTGAGACGGTTTAATTAAGGGTGGGCATGGTGCTGCTTTAGTTTGAAATGATTTATAAACACATAATTAACAGAGGAAAAACCGTGAAACGGCAAAACGTCTACATTCTAATTGTTATAACATGTAAACAGAACTTTAAATTTAGTGTAAACAGAAAAAATATATAATACAATTTATTTCACGGTATTGCAACAAATAAACGTTGAATCAATATTTAATTCGTATAAAAACAATTATTTAACGTAATAATTTTACCTTCACTATGGCTATTTTAAATTTACGACCAAGGGTCAACCTGATTTCTAATCCTTACGAACTTTAAATTCAGTCTAAACTGAGAAAATATATAATACAATTTATTTCACGGTATTGCAACAAATAAACGTTGAATCAATATTTAATTCGTATAAAAACAATTATTTAACGTAATAATTTTACCTTCACTATGGCTATTTTTAATCTACGACCACAGGTCAACCTGATTTCTAATCCTTACGAACTTTAAATTCAGTCTAAACTGAGAAAATATATAATACAATTTATTTCACGGTATTGCAACAAATAAACGTTGAATAGATTCTTAATTCGTATAGACACATTTATTTAAAATAATAATTTCACCTTCACTATGGGTATTTTAAATTTACGACCAAGGGTCAACCTGATTTTTAATCCTCCGAACTTGATTTCACAACGAGAAAGTAATAAGATCGTTGAAACGTACTTATTTGTCAAAGAAACTTGCAAAAATGTATAAATAATAATATGTAATGTTTTAACAAATTTTTGGAAGTATAAATTAATAATAAAATTGTGAAAATTAATAAATTATACGTTATTATAACATTAATAGAATTATGACTAAACCGAAGTTCGAAGTTGAGTATTTAAAGTCTGATATTACGTGCCTAGCGAGTGCCGGTAATTGTTAAAAATTGTTTAATAATTAGTAATAGAAATTATAATTGATTCTAATGTATACAAGTGTTACAAGAAGGCTGAGTGTGTACAGGGTGGACATAGACTAGCTAGTAGCCCCCGACCACTCTATTCACATCTCAGAACCTTCAGGTCAAAATACGCCGCGAAGTGTCTAGGGCCCAGTATAAAGGGTAAATGATTTCGCGGGACATCGGCGGGTCCTTATATACCTGCGGTACCCTCTCCCCAAAGTCATTAGCAAAATCGTCGGTTAGGTCAGGCGGGAAATTTTCGCGGGAGATTTTCGCGGGAGATTTCCGATATCGTAACACGGTATAATTTATCAATTTTCACAATTTAGTTAAAAATTTATACTTTTGACAGTTTGTTATAACATTGCACATAACAATTTATACGTTTTTACAATATTCTTCAATGGAAACATAGGTTTTAGCGTTCTCGTTACTTACTCGTGGTTAAATTAATTTCGTAGGGATTAAAAATCAGGTTGACCTGTGGTCGTAGATTAAAAATAACCATAGTACAGCTAAATTTATCGTGTTAAATAATTCTTTTTACACGAATCAAAAATGTATTCAACGTTTGTTTGTTATAATATCGTGAAATGAATTATTTGTGCAGTTCTGTGCATTTTCTGTGCAGTTCAACCTAATTTACTTAAATTTACATTGCGAGACAGTATACTGTAACAAGTAGTAACAAGCAAACGTTGAATAAATTCCTAATTCGTATTAAAAAAATTATTTAACACAATAATTTCAGCTTTATTATGATTATTCTTGATAAATGACCACAGGTCAACTTGATTTTTAATCGTTATAATCTTTAAATTCAGTGTGAATAGAGAAAATGTGTAATATAATTCATTTCACGATATTATAACAAACAAACGTTGAATACATTTTTGATTCGTAGGAAAAGAATTATTTAACACGATAATTTTAGCTGTACTATGGCTATTTTTAATCGACGACCACAGGTCAACCTGATTTTTAATCCCTACGAAATTAATTTAACCACGAGTAAGTAACGAGAACGCTAAAACCTATGTTTCCATTGAAGAATATTGTAAAAACGTATAAATTGTTATATGCAATGTTATAACAAATTGTCGGAAGTATAAATTTATAACAAAATTGTGAAAATTGATAAATTATACCGTGTTACGATATCGGAAATCTCCCGCGAAAATCTCCCGCGAAAATTTCCCGCCTGACCTAACGGACGATTTTGCTAATGACTTTGGGGAGAGGGTACCGCAGGTATATAAGGACCCGCCGATGTCCCGCGAAATCATTTACCCTTTATACTGGGCCCTAGACACTTCGCGGCGTATTTTGACCTGAAGGTTCTGAGATGTGAATAGAGTGGTCGGGGGCTACTAGCTAGTCTATGTCCACCCTGTACACACTCAGCCTTCTTGTAACACTTGTATACATTAGAATCAATTAGAATTTCTATTACTAATTATTAAACAAATTTTAACAATTACCGGCACTCGCTAGGCACGTAATATCAGACTTTAAATACTCGACTTCGAACTTCGGTTTAGTCATAATTCTATTAATGTTATAATAACGTATAATTTATTAATTTTCACAATTTTATTATTAATTTATACTTCCAAAAATTTGTTAAAACATTACATATTATTATTTATACATTTTTGCAAGTTTCTTTGACAAATAAGTACGTTTCAACGATCTTATTACTTTCTCGTTGTGAAATCAAGTTCGGAGGATTAAAAATCAGGTTGACCCTTGGTCGTAAATTTAAAATAGCCATAGTGAAGGTGAAATTATTATTTTAAATAAATGTTTCTATACGAATTAAGAATCTATTCAACGTTTGTTTGTTGCAATACCGTGAAATAAATTGTATTATATATTTTCTCAGTTTAGACTGAATTTAAAGTTCGTAAGGATTAGGAATCAGGTTGACCCTTGGTCGTAAATTTAAAATAGCCATAGTGAAGGTGAAATTATTACGTTAAATAATTGTTTTTGTACGAATTAAATATTTATTCAACGTTTATTTGTTGCAATGCCGTGAAATAAATTGTATTATATATTTTCTCAGTTTAGACTGAATTTAAAGTTCGTAAGGATTAGAAATCAGGTTGACCTGTGGTCGTAGATTAAAAATAGCCATAGTGAAGGTAAAATTATTACGTTAAATAATTGTTTTTATACGAATTAAATATTTATTGAACGTTTATTTGTTGAAATACCGTGAAATAAATTGTATTATATATTTTCTCAGTTTAGACTGAATTTAAAGTTCGTAAGGATTAGAAATCAGGTTGACCTGTGGTCGTAGATTAAAATTTTTCAATTGCATTACGCATTATTGCAATAATTTCTATCGTTACATTTAATTCTAATTGTTTAGCAGCTTTTCTGCTGCTATCGACCCAACATTGTACTGACACTTGTGGAATCGACCCTACATTTTACTGACACTTGTGGAATCGACCCTACATTTTTTTTTTTTTTTTTTACGTGGAGGTAAATAAGTATTAACATTAGATTGTTTCCTCGATATGGCCTTGGTGGTCATCAGTGATTGGAGTGCCTCAAATGTTTAGAATAATTAAAATAAAATAAATGTTGTCAACTAAAAATTTTGAACGTCATAGCTAGCTAGACATTATTTGCAATTGAAAAAAAAAAAATTATAAAGCATAATACTACAATCCAATGCTTAAAATGTATTTTCTTGTGGCCGCCTGGCAGCAACCTGTAAATCTGGCGTGACAGTGAACGTGTTAATAAGTAAATGTTGTTCAAATTATATCGTGTTTGATATCATTTTCATCAGGAAAATCTCACCAACATGTTAAAAAAAATTCCAGATGAAAAAAAAGTAAAGTTAAAGAAATTATATTTTTCTATTATGATTTGTTGAGCCGTGTAATCTCGTAAAGGAAACCGACTGGTGTAGCGTTACACGCTTGACTGATGGGCGCAGCAATGACGCAGACCTAGGCGTAGGACCATCTATACTGTCACTTGTAGAATCCAAACTTACTGACTCTTGTAGAGAATTTACTGTACTATGTATTCAACTAGCTCTGTATACCAAACACCTGTTCTGCTTGTCTAGTCAGGTATGTATGTATCTATTGCACTTCTCCGTGATGACAGAGTCCATTCTACTCGCCTGTCTATAAGCGTAATTAGGTTACTATCCAATTAATGATTACACATTACTGTTACAATGTACCTCAAAATTTACAGATTTTAACTTTCAAATCTGCAATTCACTGCAATTGTAAATTACTCTATTGCAACAAATCCTCCATTATGGGTTCTCTTTATTTTACAAAAATAAATAATCCCTCAAAAATTATCATTTAGCCAAAGCACACGCAAAACTACATCCATTTCACAATTGATAACTTACGAACCATTATTTTTCACATCTCACTTTTAACTCACTATCAAATTGCAATTGATAATTGAACTTCAAAAGTTCCCAAAAAATCATCACCAAATGTCAAACATTTTTAACCAGAAAACAACTCACGTCTACCTTACGATCAATCACTTCCAAGTCACTTTAAACTTCTTATCGACTTGAATTAACAACTCAACCATTCCTCGTTCTGACCTCTTTCAAAAATCATCACCAAGTATCAGTGTTCCCACCGAAAACCACACAGAAATATTAACCAAATCGGTGTTCAGAGAACACTACTCCCGTCAGCACGAACACAACCGATAACTTACCCGACAGCCTCGCTGTAGAAGACGCTGAAGAGCACTATGCCCACCCCAGCGCCGGCTTGCACGACCATCTCGACGAACTCTCGCCGTTTTCTGAAGTAATGGCCCAGCACCAGGCCGGCAGTTTCTCTCACGAGGCCAGCTCCGGTGCCCAGCACCACGCCGTAGCTGTTGCATTTTGCAAAGATGGAATCGTTTCAGTTCACAGACCTGGTTACTGTACCGCCATGGAAAACGGCTTGACGATTCTAAACCAGACGGTGGCGCGGGGAGAGACGCGGAGAGGAGGGACACGTTTTCGACAGGGCTTACGCGAGATACGCGAATCACAGGTGAAGTTTCGAGCGACTTACGGATTTACGACTGCAGCTTGTTTCGCCGAGAAATCGGCGAACGAGCTTGCTTACTCGATGTAAGAGATTCACGGGGACGTAGACGTCGTTTATGCGCGGGGAAAATGCGCTACGAAGTGGAGAACGATCGTTTTTTCCGGATTTTCTGAAGTGGCGAAGAGGATAACAGCGGAGGTTACGGTTTCAGGAGATATCTGGGAATTTTGAATGAGAAGCGAGTCTGTGGTATTAAGAGTAGCTTCCTGAAGGGAATACGAAAGCTGAGCGAAATTTGGATCCCTTGGAATTGGGGAAATTAAGAATCTTTGCAACATTCTGGATTGAATATGTTACAAAAGGTGGTTAATATTTTTTGGTGTAATTTAAAAAGGTATTAGCTAGGGTTTTAGGAGATATTTGAGAATTTTGAACTGTGAAAGGAACTACAAGAAGTGGATCCCTTGGAATTGGAGGAATTACTTGAAAAATGTTTAATCATCGCAAAATTCTAGATTAAATAAATTACGAAGGATAGATAATATTTTTGGTATAATTTAGAAATTATTTCGCGACGTTCTTGCAATTGGGGAAATTATTATAAATTATGAATCGTTGCAAAATTCTAGATAAGTTACAAAGGATAGATGAAATTTTTTGGTATAATTTATAACAGTTCTTGCAGGAAGTTTTCTGCATTTTTTGCATTAATTTAGGCTATTTGTCACGTATATATTTTGGACCAATCTCTGGTAATTCGTTTTTTCCTTATACAGAATTCAGGAGCGAGGCTTTCAACGAAGACTGATCGCCTTCGATTCGGCCATCGAAGGGCCGTATCTCAAGGGATCCACAGGTCCATTCTCTCCTATTCTCGCCCGTTTCCCGTCATTTTTCAGATCCTGCGAGACTCCATTCGAATTCTCCTCGATTTTTATATTCCAGACAAACGAACAGCATCGTATAGTCTCTTAATTCGTCGTACAATCATTTTGAAAGTGAAATTTCTTCAATTTACAGCTATAAAATACACACTAAATAATGAAACTTCAATTTTTCACAGTACTTCCTAAAAAAAGCAAGAAAACTGTGACATCCCACAGAAAAAAACTCTAAAATTTTATACACAGACTAAGAAAGTCTCAATCTCCCACATTTTAATAAAGTATCAGGTAACGAAAAAGGCAGAACCGCGCGAAACTTGTTTGTTTACCTGGATACTTCGTGATGTAATTTCACACAAACCTTTTTTCATCTAATTATTCAACCTCTTACAGACACTACATCAACTTCGTCCAACTTTGAACAGATTCAATACAGAATTTTCGTCTCGAATAAAAATTCTAACTGAAAAACCAAAAGAATAAAAAGGTGGACAAACTTTTGCACCGTCTCGATAGTTGCTCTCTCGACTCGGGAACAAAATTCTCGAGGATTCGACCAATTGTAGAAAAGCTCGATCATTACGATGAAAACGCGGTTTGGAAGTGCTCGCAGGAGTTACCGGAAAAGCGGCACGCCGTTGTGCATTTTAAGCGACTTAAAACGGGCGCTTGTTGCGTTCCAGGCGAATTATTAATCCTTTGGCGAGAGCGGAAGCTTCTCTCCCGCCGGAAGTTCAAGGAGTCGTGGGGATCGCGGGCCGTTTAAAAGTTGAAGCGAAGGGACGAGGCTGCGGAGGGTGGAGGCAAATGGGAAACGGGATCCGCGAATTAATTTTTTTTTTTCAGAATTAAACCGGTGGAAAGTTTTTAATTAAACAAGCGAGGCGCAGGATCTTGGAAAATTCGCAGGAAGCTACGCAGGAAGAAGGGATCATTGTCATTTTTCCTGATTATCCTTTGAGTCTTAAGATGAGGAAGAAGGGTGGCGAATTTGGTAGAATTAAGAGTAACAAAAGTAACTTTCGCAATTTTCAGAACTGACTTGGTTCTTGTTCTGATGGACGAGAAGTCTAACTTTCGAATTAAAAGAATAGGACTTGGTAGATGATAAGTGTTAACTGTGAAAAACTTAAATAATGTCTAATTCCAATTTTAATGTTACAAGGCAAAGGGTTAAGTAGAAGTGCAATTTTGAAGTAAAAAGGATACTAAATTCTCTGACTACAATCTTTCTTTCATTAGAAATTTTGGTATTTAAATAAATACCATAAATTTTACTATCACAAAGCAAAGGGTTAAGCAGAAGTGAAATTTTTGAAATAAAAAAGGCACCAAATAATATTTTCCGAAACTGCTCTACCTTTCGTTAGATTTAAATAAAAATGAAAAGACATAAACAAAGCCTAATTCCAATTTCACAATTACAAAGCAAGAAGTTAAATGCAATTTGTGAAGTAAGGAAAGATACAATTCTCTCGGAGACGAATTGTCAGGATGAATTATCGAGACAGAGAGGTTTCTTACTCACCTAAGGAGAACCTGGTGCAGCTCCGCGGCGAACGAGGTGAAGAGAGACGCCAATGCCAGCACGAGACCGCCGATCACAGCCGTAAGCCTTGTACTTCCCCGGCGACACGCGCCCACGACCAATGGTGCCGATCCACGGGAAACCGCAGTGCTCAAGGCGCCCACCCACACTGAAACGTTAATTCGATGGTTACTTCTGCTGCCAAACACGACGATTGCTCTTTGGAATCTTTCTCCCTTGAGTGTTTCACCGGAAAGAACGAGTATTTCCTTGTACGGAGCCGTTGCTCCCTTTCAACTGTTTCCACGTGAGAATTCAGTTAAGCTCTCTCACAGTGGGCAACTTCTTTTTCTCCTTTTCGCGAATTTTTTTAACCACGAGGAACTGCCTTTTGAACTTTCTCACAGTGAGGTACTTTTGTTATTCTTTTTGGGAATTTTTTAATCGCAAGGGATTGTTTTTTGAACATTCTCACAGTGAGGAACTTCTGTTTTCCTTTTTGGGAATTTTTAATTACGTGGAATTGTGATTCTGAGCTTCCTCACGGTGAGGAACTTTTCTTTATCTTTTTGGGAATTTTTTAATCGCAAAGACTTTGTTCTATACAGATATTTATCAAACATATTAAACTTCTTGCACTTGAATAAGTATTACATACGTACATACTCGTTTCTTCTACGTTCAGAAATAAGATGTAATGTTTCGTCCATTATGCTTTGTTATATTCGAGCAGAGAGAAGAAACGGAAGCGTTTCTGCTGCTCGCGAATAGAAGAAAATCGTGTTCCTTCGTTCCATCTGGCCTTTACCTACAGAACTCATCAGATAAGCTTTCTTACAGAATGCTATCTCTTAAAGAGCCAGAAAATGTGCAAAGACTCTCCTATAAGTAAATTCGAGTAACAAAAGAAGCCCAAGAAGAGACCATAAACAAAAGAATATTAAATTAACACGATCTTCCGCGGCACATAATTATACCACAAATTCAATTCTCTTTAAAAAGCAAAAAATTCACGTTGCATCAAAATTTCACTATTCACTCGAAATATCATTCTCACCGGCAAACTTCTACGAATCTTTAATTAGGCACAATAACGATTCAGGAATCGCCGACTGGCGGGCGCATTATTGACGATGGAAAATCAAATTAGTCGAAATTTCCAAAAGTAGCTTCTGCCATTTTGCGCGACGAAGGATGGAGAAGTGGAAGCATCGAACAATAAAATTCCAAACGTTGTCCTGCCACGAGCTCTCCTCTCTCTCTCTTTCTCTATGAATTTCCAAGCTGAATGGACGTCGCGCGAAATAATGAAAAAGAATCTCCACCTCTCTGCTCTCTCTCTCGTCGCGGCCTTTTCATCGGGCAAACTAATTAGAAAAGCGTAACGCAAGCAACCCTGGACCACGTTTAATTACTCGAATTGGCCGCCGCTGGTCCTCCTAATTAACCGTAAAATAGGAAGTAACGTTGAGTATTATGGCGAACGGCGGCTGAATGCGCCGCTCATAGACGAGATCGAGATCGCGTTAAACTCGAGGACGCAATTAGGCGACTCTTGTGCCCAGGACGACGTTTCGCGATCATCTTTGCGAGTGATTATCGGCCTGAGAATTGTGTTACAGAGAAAGTTTGTTTTGGGTCCAAGTGCCACTCGCTCGGTGGCTCTTCAATTTTTCGTTTCGATCCAAGTGTCTTTATTTCCTTTATTTTTAGGTAATTGCAGATTTCCTGAGATTCGTCTTAACGTAACAGTCCTTTCGAAGGAAAAAATCCCACCGGAATAATTCCACAAAAATTTGACCTTAAAAAAATAAAGAAATAAAAAAAGGAACTACAGAAACCTTGGAAAATCTTGGGTGATTACGAGATACCCGATGTAACAAAATTCCAGAGATTTATCATAACGTAAACATCACTCACAATTGAAAAATCTTTTGTAAAATCCTTCCAAAATACTTCTACAAAAATTCAACTCTGCAATCACATCTTTAAGAAAAGAATCTTGAAGGAAAGAAAGAAGAATTCCTTTAGCCCGAATTTCATATTGAAAAAAGTATCACCTTCGTCAACCACTTTTCACCTGAAACTTCCCACGTGAAAGTTTATTCTATCAAGACCACTTCGATCCTCTGTTTCGCCCTTTATCGAAGAGAAAAATCCAAAATTCCAAGATGTTCGAGCGGATGTTGCAGGCAAAGGAGGAGCAGAAGCTCAGGAGGAACAAGAGTTTTGCATTATTCATCGAGCGGGTGGAACGTGCTCCCTTTTGTTCCTCTTAGAGGTCCCACGTTCCGCCATTTTTCTTTCAGCGATGGGCGCTGGGAGAGTACGAGGCCAGGCGTAACTTGGACAATAATTTTCGCCGGTATTAAACGGCGCAGAGGCCGCGACGTGTCTCATCGATTTCTAGTTAGGCCGTGAGATATTGGCCCGGGCTTGATAACGCCGATAAGCGACCGGCACCGATGCAGTTGGAAAGTTAATGAGCGTCCCACGTCCCCGGCCTTTGTTCCCACCATTTTGGATCACGCGCGCGTGAAATTATCGTTCTCCGTTATTTGATGAATTACGGCGAAAGTATGGGATAAAATACAACGAGGCTTTAAACGATTTGCTAATTAATAATAGCAGATTGCGATGTTTTTCGGGTACAGAAATCTTTTTAACCTGATTTCAAGTTTTTCGAGAGTTTAACGTGGAATGTGAAAAGTACTGTGAATTATTGAAATTGAAGCCTTTTTAATTTAGCAAATGTAACTCAAATGTGCAGTATATTATTATTAATAAAACTGCAAAATTGCAGTTTTCAGAAATTCCCGAGTTTTTACATTTTTTTTTAGTTTGAAATTTTGTTCAAAATTTCGTGACCCTTTTTCAGATTTTAACCGAATTTGACGAGGACGACTTAAATTTCCCTCATTTTCAAAGGAAATTTAACCGAAATTTAACCTAAAATTAAATAATTCATACACGAAATACTGCTAGATTTCCTAGTCGAATAAATCGATTCCATAAACTAAACTTCATTGTTTCAACAGATGCGAAGAATAGAACGATAAATACGAAGGAAATATCGAGGATCCATCGTAAATATCTTTGTGCATAAAATTAAGCAGAATTTCTAGACATTAGCCGAATTCACGGAGACCTTAAGCTAGTGGAAATTAGTAAGCCACTGTAAAGGAATCTCCTTAGAAGAGATTGCGAGCACAGATGAGGGCCAGATTCCCGAATAACTTGCTGAATTATGTATTTTTAGGTGATGTAGGTGGGCACATAACGGCGGGACACGTTCTACGTGTCCTTAATTTCCACGAAACCAACCTGAAATCCTGTAATCCGGCTCTAGCCAGATGTGTCCTCGGATTTGCACGTGTCTACAACGCCTTAATTGTTATTTCAACGGGGCAAGAAAAGTTTCACTTCCGACACGCATAATTACAACTTCAAACTGGATCCGACGTAAATTGAAATCAATTATCAGCGGGTAAATTAAAATTCACGTAAATTGAAATGGTCGAAAATGAAAAAACAAACAGAAGTATCGCTGACTGTAATTATAATTTTCCAGGAAATTGAAAAAATGAATTTCACACTTCTGATCGAATTCGAAAAGCTTCGTTTGTTTCACCGTGTATTTTCGATCAACTGAAATTTGCATATCACTTTTCATCGAGCAATTAAGTCTCTCTGATGAACTTCGATCTTAAAATTCACGAAAATTAAAATTACATTAATTTCTATAGATAATTTAAGAAAGGGGGTTGCTGCTTATAATTGTAATTCTCCGGGGAATTTCACGAAATCGCGATGTCCAGAAAATGAATTTCATACATTTTGATCGAACACACGTCTCGGAGATGCATTTGAAAAAGCTTCGTTTGTTTCACCGTTGTATTTTCGACGAAACTCCACTTGAATTGAAATTCATTTGCATATTACTTTTCATCGAACAGTTAAACCACTCTGGTGAACTTCAATCGATGTGTTTGAATTCGATAAGCACGCTTCGCTGTTTTCCGCTCTATTAACCGGTCGATTTTCTGAAAAATGTTGTCGCAACAGTTTCGACAGCCCTATTCATGGGGCTAAGCGGAGGGAAACTCGGTGTACGTGACCAATCCTCCTTTCCCCTAGCGCGGGTTGATTAAAATCTCGAGATTAGACGTTTCGCGATGAAAACCGGGTCGAAGCACGATAAAGTGCGGCGACGTTTAATTTAAAAATTCAATGGACAGCTCGAGGCTTTTCAAATTCTAGTGGAATTCCTCCCGTTAATTTCTCAATACGAATGAAATTTCTTATATTCCTCCGGTTTATTTCTAAATACGAACGAAATTTCTTATATTCTCGGCGTTAATTTTTTAATAGGAAAGAAATTTCTTGTATTCTTCGCGTTAATTTTTTGATATAAAGGAAAATTCTTCTATTCTTCGCGTTAAAATTCTTACATTTCCCTAATTTTTTCAAATATAAAAATTGACACTGATTCGAGCACACTTCCTTCATATTTTACCACTGCAAAAATATCCGTATAATTTACAAAAATCAAATTTGGACACATTAACTTCCAAAAGTATTCAAATTTCATCTTCACTCAATATTTAAAAAAAAATTAAGCTCTTCGAAATTACAATTTCTACCTTCCAATTTTTAACGATACACTATTATTTTCCAACTATCTTCAAAGATCAAGTGATAGAACCAACGATAAAGCAGACTAAAGTCTCCAAAGAACACCTTTCAAAATCACTGCTCGTTATTACGTCCTAAAATGTAGGAAATTATCAATCACAAAAGGTACTGAAATTACGACTCGGCGCTCGGTTGAAAATCGGCAATAGGCGCGATATTACAGTGTTTTCGTCGAGAATCGTTCGAAACGAATTATTGCAAGCGGATCCCCGTGTCGTTGTTCCCGAATCGAAAAGTTTTATCAAGCGAAAGTTTTATCAGCGCGGCCGGAATTCCCGTTAATGAAATCTTCAATTTACGTGGCCGGTAGAGCGCAAGGTGAGCGAATCGTAAATTATTGAAAGGCAAGCCACGTGCACCATCGATTTCCCGGTTTTGGCTCGCGAGATACGCTCGTTCGCTGACGATTCAGGAAGGACCGGCCATAACCACGCTTCCGGTCCCTCCTTCATGCCAACTTTACGCGACTCGAAA